AGATAAGACGTTCTGGCTTTGTTGCGTTGTTCGTCTTAGATGTCTGTGCCTGTCTGTGGAGAGGGCATAGAGGTTTGAAAGTGGGCGTTGTACTTCCATTGTCAATATTGTGCTTAGCGGAAGTTGAGTAGGTGAGTGACAGGGTTTGGTGTCTTCTTTTACTTTTGATGTGTAAACTTGCATCATATTCAGTTTCTCTTGAACTGCCATGTATGTGGCAACAAGCTTTGCTGTATAATGTTAAATTACAGGCTACAAAGTCATTTCATAGTAAGTGTAAGTCTCTTGCTTCCTTATTCACCCTTGTGTGCATGCATACAGATACACACACACACATATGCAAACCAACCCAGTTACACCTGGGTGATTGAGAAGTGCAAAGACACAACTAAGTTCGCGGTTGATTGGGTCGCAGGGAATGTACGCAGCTCTTTCCTGTGTGCTGGAGCACGAGGATATACCGAACTATGTTCACTGAGATGCTATCGCTTCGCTCAGCTTTGAGCTATTCGTCTAGTCCCTGAAACAAAAAGACCACAAAAAGTACCACAGACTGAACCACAAGCACTGACGGAGAAAGAGGAGCAGTAAGCGAAAGACAAAGTAAAAAGTTTCTAAATTAATGCAGTAAAATAAATAAATAAATGCATGAAAACCTTCTTAAGAGTTTTTGGAAGACATTTCATTGACCAAATGGATTTACACACAGCGTACGTTATTATTATCAATGTGGCTGGCTGAGGATGTTACACATTTAATAAATGGAAATACAAGAAATATTATACAAGAAAATTAAGGAATGCGTTTGAATTCTTGTAAACCGAGGTAACACTGGTTGAGAAGACTTTTAAAAACACATCCTGTATCAGCACTATGCAAAAGTATTACTGCTTCACAGTCAAAGCCAAGTAGACCAAGGTCACAGTACACTGCCACCTTAAGAAAAGCAAAAATGTAAGTATGAGATAATCTTAAGACACAGCAACACAAATCATAAAGGTGCGCCAACTCATTGGGTACAAAACTTAATATTGTAATCTTTGTAGAGTTTGTTGTTTGTATTTGCTTTCAATTTTAACAGATGTATTAAAAACTTATAGAACCCTTACACGTTATTATCATATGTAAGTAAATTCATTAAGTTATGTGATGTATGCTAAAAAGAATGGATTTCTTCAGCTTTCTGTATAGATTTATTTTAAACATTGAGACACAGTTGAAACTAAATGCTCACAGATATGATGAACTGTAAACATTATTTTTCTGTTATTTTTCAGTTTTCTGATGTCTCCTTCATTTGTTTCCTGTAATAGTAGAGTCAAATCAGACATAAATTTTTTACATTTACTTTTTAAAATAACAAAACAAACTTGTTTGCAAATGATAATGTTTGTATAATGTTTGACCTGCAAAATAACAATGTCTTTGTGAAGTCTTGTAAACGTCCATTCATCCATCCATTTTCTTCCGGTTATCTGAAAATACACACGATTAATTTTTTGGATTAAATTTTTTTCTTTTTTTTGGGGGGGGGCAGCATAAATCATGGAAAACAAGTGCTTACATCCCAAAAAAGGGAATTTAATCCAGTACTTTTCTTCTTAAATATTGTAACAGCCATGAACTAACAGCGTACAATTTTTAATCTAATGATGTGGCAGTGCTATATACTCAACTGTTTGTGGTGAAATCCATAACTATTATCTCATGTTACGTCTTGCTACAGATACAAAATACATAAAAG